CGGGGGGGCGCCCCCCCCCCCGCCGTGCTCGCTCGGCTCCGCTCCGCGCCTGCCCGCGCGGCCACAGGCCGTGAGGCGGCTCCGAGCGCCGCCGCGGCTGCGGCTGCCGGCCCGGGAACTGCGGCTGGCACCGGGAGCTGCGGCTGGCACCGGGAGCTGCTGCTGCTGAGACCGGGAATTGCGGCTGACACCGGGAGCTGCGGCTGACACCGGCAGGAGCTGCTGCTGAGACCGGGAGCTGCGGCTGACACCGAGCTGCTGCCGGCCCGGAGCGGCTGTGACACCGGGAGCTGCTGCTGCTGAGACCGGGAACTGCTGCTGACACCGGAGCTTGCTGCCGGCCCCGCTCCGCTCCGACATCGGAGCTGCTGCTGACACCGGAGCTGCGGCTGCAGCCGGCCCCGAGCGCTCCGACACCGGAGCTGCTCCCGGCACGGGGGCTGCGGCTGCTGCCGGCCCCGCTCCGACATCGGGAGCTGCGGCTGCTGACACCGGGAGCTGCTGCCGGCCCCGAGCTGCTGCTGACACCGGGAGCTGCTGCTGACGCCGGAGCTGCGGCTGCCGCCGCCCCGCTCCGCTCCGACACCGGAGCTGCTGCTGCAGCTGGCACCGGAGCTGCCGGGGCCCCGCTCCGCTCCCGCAGGAGCCGCTCGCCCCCGGCCCCGCCTGAGCGCAGGTACGGGGGGATCGCTGCTGGGAACAGCCGGGGCCGCTGCGGGGCCCGTGGGGATGGGATGGGGATGGGGATGGGATGGAGATGGGGACAGGGACGCCGATGCGTGTGCGGGGGGACAGTCCCCTTCCGGCACCGGTAACTCTTATCGCAGGCAGGCAAACTTTATTATTCTGCAGCAATCTGGCGATGCCCTTCACTGCATCTTCCCTCCTAGGTGCTGCTGTGAATGATAAAATGTGCATCGTGCAGGAGCGCTAGGTAAAGGGATTAAACTCTTGCTAGATTATTCCATCCTGCCTGCGGCTGATGTTTAATCTGATGTCATTTCCCAGTCGCTTCGAGGGCTCCCGGTGGAATGGCAGCCGTGTGTGCTCGAGCTGGGCTCTGCGGGCAGAGCCGGCTGCCCCAGCCCGGGCAGGGCGCGCTCCTCGGGGCGTTTGCTTTCAGACCGGGATTGTGCTGTCATGGCACAGCCACCCCGGCTCACACAGCCGGTACGTGCCGCCTGGCTGGCGTCCACAGCCAGGCCAGTGCAAGAAAACAGCTCATCCTTGTTCCACAGAGCGAGATCTGCAGACAGATACAGACAAACGCAGGGCTGGGGCCGAGCACGTAGAACAGAACAACACATTTACTGTTGCCCGTTCCGTGAATACAGTGAATTACAGTGCTGTGCTCACGGTCCGGGGGCTCTGCGGGGTTTTTATCCACCTCTCTCCCACGCTGGCCCTGGCTGTGGCGCTGGGCACGGGGGTGTGTCTTTCCCTGAGCGATGATGTGATGGTCGACATTACAGCTGTACCCGGGCTTAGTGCAGCTGTGGCCGAGGAGAATCCCGGGCCACATTAAACCTTTGGTTTTTCTTTTTTTTTTAAGCTGCTGCTGCCTGTTTTTTTAGTGATAAAACACTGCCTGGGCTGTTTTGTCCAGTGCAGGTAGTGATGCAGGGTTTGTGTACAAAATAACTCAGCAGAATAACTTATTAGTGAGCCTTGACACTGCATCTGATAAATGCAGAGTCTGCTTCCTAAGGGATTGGATATATTTTATAGAAATAGCTAAATTCAAAGCCACTGGTTGTAACATTAGGAATTGCAGCCAGTATTCTGTGACAGGGGAAGAATACCATGAATGCTATAATCCAAATAAAAATACTACTGCTTGGCAAGATAGAAGAGCTGCCTTGAGAAAACAGATGAAATACTGAAACACAGACCAAGCAGCAGAGGGGAAGGTACAGCATCCCCATGAAGGCAATATGGTAAAAAATAGCAGTATGTGGCACTGATGGGAAAGTTGCTGTGGTCACTTTGTATTTTGGCGTTTTTGATCAGGAGGTGTTACATTTTTATTAGAGCAGGGCTTTCCAGTCTGCCCAGCTGACAAATGAAGAAGGCAATTCAGATCAAATATTACAGATGTCAGCCAGCACTCACCACTGCAGACAGCCTTTGAAGCACATCTGTGCTACTTCTAGTGCCTTAAAGGAGCTTGGGGTTTTTTTAGGTGCCTCTTTGTTGTTCCTTTCTGATCTGATGGTCCTGGTCAGTGCTTTGTGCAGACTGTTTTCTTTTGAAAAGGGGAAAGACCGACTCTGAATGGAGCCAGTGAAGTGGCCGTGCTGTCTGCAGGCTGGAGAGCAGCCCTGATTTTCCCTGCTTCCATCCCTGAATGGGTTCCAGCCTGCTGAAATACAGCATGACTGCGTGCTAGAGGCAGAACAGGGGGCTCTGCCATCACATCCAGCTTGATGGATTTGTCTCTACCTGGGGCACCTTGTGAGACAGGCAGCCTGTTGAAATTTCTAGAATTAAAACCAAGCTACAGCTCTAAAACAGCACGTGGCTTTTAGGGGTAGGAAAAGTGAGGTGGAGCAAAACATGGGGCAGGGCAGTGCCACAGATTTCTGCATGAAAATGGGCTGAAGAGTTGCTGAGTGCTGCTGCAGTTAACTGGCAGCTGCAAGCTCAGGAACCTGAAGCATCTGTCTATGGATGTGAGCAGTCCCATCCCTGCACAAGCTGTGGATGTGCTTCTGCATCTGCACATCTGTACAGATGTGTCTCTGGTTAGATCCGTGCTAGGTGTGTGTGTGAGCACTGCCCTTTGGCCAGCTGTGTGATACTGAGCCTTACATCAATATTCCACCACCACAGCCTTCTGGTTACAAAGCTCTGAACCTTTCTGGGCTGCCACAAGGGACAGGAGAGGCCTGTGCTCCCTGGATAATTCCCATCCTCGGGTGTTAAGGGGTTTCCTTTTGCTCAGTGCCCCACCACAGACCAAAATTAAATCCCCAAAATCACGCTGACTTGGCTCTGTGGTGAGAAGCTCATTGGTCGTGTCCTGTCCTTTCAATATTCATGTTTGACAGTCAAGGCTGTTTGTCATTTCACCGAAACTGTTTCAGGCCCTCATCACTGCTACGAAATATGTCACAGCAGCTGAGTGTCTGTTAGTCACGACTTTTTTCCTGGGACTTATTTTTGGGTTATTATTCAGTGAAAGGTTCTGACTAAACTGGAGTTTTGTGTGAATCCTTTGTTTCCCCCTTTCACAGCCTGTATATCCTGTTCTGACAGAATGTCAAGCTGTACAGATACAGTTCCTCTCTGGTGTTGGACAGTCTCTCTGTGCACAGGACATAGGAACTGAAATCTGTGTAGATTTTCTGGACAGCACCTGGTGCCACTGGTGATTACTGGACTGCTGCTGTTCTGTGCAAGATGCCTGTCCAGCCCAGATGAGGATTGTCACAGAGTGCTGCTGACAGCAGCATTTCCTCTGTTACAACAGCACTAGCTGTTAGAATTGAAAAATATATCCCAGTATCAGGAATAAAAATAGAACTGGAGTGCAGCCACAGCGCTGGGGAAATGCAGCTTCTCCCAAGCAGGGTGCCAGGACCCAGTTTGTGCTCAGAGCTGGGGAAGGGCTCCTGCCAGGCTGCCAGGGGCTCTGGGCAGGGGAGGGGGTGCCCTGGCCCTGGAGCAGCTGGGGCTGCAGCTTGGGTGGCACCGGGGGCTCCCTGCTCACTGCACCCGCCCTGGTGAGTGAGGTGTGGGCTGTGTTCACCCTGTGATGGTGCCTGCAGGGCCACTGGGGACTGAAAAGCCATTGCAGAGCCATTGCAAACCAGTGGGCACTGCAGAGCCACCTGTGGCTGGGATCTGCTGAGGACATGAGAGAGCTCCAAGGGCTCGTGGCTCCACACCTTGGCTCAGGAAATCAGAGTGGGGCTTCCAGCTCTGCCACAGATTCTGTGAATGGCCCTGAGCAGAGCATTTAGCATCTCCTGGGCTCTGTTCTCCTTCTGTAAATGGGAATAATAATGAACTCTTTCCACCACATTCTATTTATTTTATCTGCGTAGGAAATGAGATTTTCAGACCAAATACTGTTTTCTCCATCAGGATGCTGAATCCCAGCAGAGGCTTCTAGATGCTACTTATAAATCACTTGACAGCCTGCATTGTGTGTTGTTGATCTATAGAAGAATATTGCTGAGTGCCAGAAGAATTTGAATTTGCTCTGGGGTTTCTGGAACAACATTTGATTAGCGAATTCTCTGTTGTGCTGGTGGGTTTGTCCAGGTTGGAGAGAAGAGCCTCATTCCCCTGCTGGTGGCAGTGCTTTGGTAGAAACATTGACAGAGCAAGTGTCAGGACAGAGGGAATGGCACAGGAGGCTTAATTTTTGCTTTTTAAAAACTAGATAATTGTCATAAAGTTTTCTGTTTCCTGCTGCACACAGGCTTGGCTCCTAGAGCAGCAGGCATTGCTGTGCCCAGTGCTGGCTGACCAGCAGCAGTGCAGGGTGTTCCTGTGAACAAGAGGAAGGCACTGAGAAATAACAGCATGGCACAGATTCTCCTCCCTGCTCTCATCTCATGACATTTAGAGCCCCTTTTCCAGTTTTCCTTTGGAGAGCATCCTGCAGCCAGCCCCTGTGCCTGGAGGTTTGTGTGAACAGGGTGGGCTGCTGGGCAGCCATCACATGCACCCCTTCCCCTCCACGCTCCACCTGCCCCAGAGCCACACTGATTTATTGTCTGTCACTGAGGAGCAGAAATCGCTTTTATAGACAGCCTCATCAAGTTCTTACACTGGATGTGTGATGGGAGAAATTACAGTTATGCCAGCTTAGAAAGGAAAATAAGCCTTTCTTGAGGCAGGTTAACTTGTTTGGGGTTGGCTTAGAAAAATCCTACATCAAGGCTAAATTCCTCCAGAACAGGGAATTTATTCTGGTACTTCATCTTTTCAGCTCCTGCTGAGTATTTCTGTACCTCCTCCTTACAGAGCTGGAAAATGCTCTGTTGTGTTCCTGTATTCCATATTCCTGTCTGGAATACCGTGGTGCCTTTGGTGTGGGATGATCAGTGGGAGCCCTGCCCCTGCCACTGGGAGTGTTCTCTGGTGTTAACCAGGCAGGACTGTGCAGATGTGTGCCAGGGCACAGCTCAGAGCCCCTGGGCATGGCTGGGCACTGCCTGGGGAGGGATGCAGCTGGGTCAGGGTTGGGTTTGAGTTAGGGTTGGGGTTTGGTTGGGTATGGTTTAGGGTTAGGGTTGGGATTGGGGTATGGTTTAGGGTTAGGGTTGGGGTTAGGGTTAGGGAGCTGCTGGTGCTCAGAATTCAGGGCCAGAAGCTCTCAGCTGTCACTGCAAGCAGCACTGCAGGGCTGCTCTGGCCAGTGCTCTGCATTTCCCTCCTCTGTGGCACTCACAGTTCCCCCTCCTGGCCAAGTCTGGCTTTCTGTTCTCCCCCTCCCTGTCCCCAGTCCTGATGTTTAGAACCTTAGCAATATTCCCTGCCAGCTCCAGGGGTGTGTTTCTTCCCCTCTCCCTTGTTTACTGCTTGCTAATTAAGTTTTGTAGGTGGCAGTTTGGAATCTTAGTGGGACGTGTCATGTGGCTGCTAATGCTCTGCAGATCTCTATTACATAACCTTTAAGTAGTTGGGGAAATGTGCTTGTGTCATTCTGGGCCTGGCAGAAGG